ATTGGTTTTCTGCACTTTCGTTAGCCTCTTTTGTTAACTCCTATTAAATTACACGTTTTCACCGTGGTTAGATTCGTAAACTCTTACCAAGTTTAAACGAAGCTCTTGCTGTAGCATAGTTCCACAGAAATTCACAGGTTTTAACAGGAGACATCAAAACTGATTTATGTAAATCAGCGAAATGCCCCCACCAAACTAATTGCGCCGAAGTACTCATCATGTAATAGAAGATCTGGCACCCTTCTACTGATCTTTTTCAGTTTCAACGATGATTTATTGGGCTCTAGAGCCAATTGTTGCTTTATTTGCTTTATAGAAATCAATTTAAGGAGTCTCTGACCACTTATTTGGAATGGAAACTAAACGAAGAGCTACACATCGTGAATAAGACTCGTGCAAGTGAAATAGAATCGATTCGGCCACAAGATCTCAGTACTGAAGGCAAGGACGAGACACGAATGCTGCGATCACTGGAGGTATTCTGCCAAGATTTCCTGACAGTTTCAATTCCTAACTATTTTTACTTCCCAATTAACAAACATTAATTACGTTCTTCATTTTTAGCGCAGTTTAGCGTGTTAGGGGGGGATTGGCATTTTGCACTTTTGTTACTTCTTATCGCCGTATTCAGCAGTCAAGTGTAGTCCTATCTCACTTGACCACTCTTGTAAAGCCTGGACAGACATGGGGAGTAGCAAAAGTGTGAAGTGCCCCCTCTCAAGCTTGAGTTCATATCATTTTCTTTCGGGATTGAGCGAGGGAATCAGAGACGCTGCTCCTATAAGGTGTGGTATTCGGAGAGCTCCTCTGCGACATTGAGACTACCTTAATACAAGAACATTTCTGCACAGAAGAACTGCTTGAGCCACCAAACTGTTCGAGCCAGCCACCCCACGGAGCTCCTTTACTCCCCAGAAAAAACTCCCTCCTTTACTGCCCAGAGTGGTTTGGAGATAAACCTCATCTTCATCGGTCGTGCCCAAAAATTCTTTTGAATACCCACCTTGCTGGAACAGCGCCAATCAAAACCGATTATTTCAATCCAACGAAATCTCCAAACAGCACATCACATACTTCCTATTAACCCGACCACCCGAATTACGGTTCTTATTTCCCTGGGATCCTTATAACTTTCGAAGTGAGGGAGGGGGTATTACGAAAATCAAGGATTCGTCGTACAAAGTCGTCGGTGCTACTCAAGCGAGACTGAGCTTTCCGCCTGGGCCTACAAAGGAGAGTAGGTGAGCGCAGTTCGGCTTGGTGGGGGCCACTGTGCTGATTCCCATCTACTGCCGACGAATCCTTTGAATGCGTGCAAATTCCCATTAAGCCAAGGATAGCAGGAGCCTCGCTTACACTTGACAATTTTCCACAGGTCTCATCGAAGCGACATAAATAATAGCAGTCAGCAAAAGGAGATAGCCATAGAGCGAAATGCCCATCTCAAGCCGAATAGCGTCAAGAAGGTGAACCAACTTCTTAGAGTTAAAGGGGATTTCGCGCAACAGTAATCCCTGTTTCACACTGAACGCTGAACACCTTTCAATGTCCCCCTCCCTACTCGTTCTCTCGAATCCCAGACGCGCATGATTCTTCTTTCGGATTATTTCTAAATATGGAAGTAATAAAGAATAAAATTGTCTAAATTTTGACTTCTCAAACTATGCATTCCAGATGATCCACTCATGCCCAGAGCGGTTGATATCGATTTTCTATACGGTT